GTTCTGAAAATTGAAGCAAGAAAACCTCAGCGACGTTGCTGTACTTGGAAGCGCCTGCAAAGCATGGCAGTCTTCTGAGCAAAACTTTTCCATTGCTTGCGCTACAAAGACAAGATGCAAATAACAAATTGGCAAACTTGCATTTTTAAAAATTCTGCACATATCTGAGGGAACAGAAACGTTACCGCAAGACTGCTGAAAAAATAGATGATGATTTAGTTGTGTGGAGGATGTGTATGGTCAGCAAAGACATGTCCTCTCTCATGAGCTAAAGCAAGGGCAAATTCCTGGCCCTGCTGAAGCCCAGGGGAGCTTGATGGGACTCACCCCAAACGTTATTAGCATTACTCTGGCAGGGTCAATGGGCAGAGGCGTTAGTGGGGTCTGTTCTGCCTGAGGGGAGCATCAATTGTCAATGAACTGGTGGATGGGGAAATCCCTGTTGGTGGGGACGAGATGCGGTGCAAGTGTCATGTTAACACCACGCAGCCTCCATCGGTGGGGGATGGTGGGCTATTCGCAAAGGCCATTCAGAGCAGGAACGAAACACGAATGCTCTGATTCGTCCTACAGAGCAGGTTATCAAGCCTGGAGATGGTCATGGGCCTGTGAGCTGCAGAAATTGGATACCTGGTGTGGGTAGGAAGATGCTTGACTGGGCAGGGAAAAAGGCATGGCCAGACTGCCAGGTGGCTTGGGGTTGAATGAAAGTGGGACCTGTGCAATTATAAGCCTGGGGATTATGAAAAAAATACTCTATTAGAGGACTTCATTATATGAATGTCATTTTTCTGACCAGATCCACTCAATAACCCTAGCTAATTCCAATGATGAGTCAATTTTCTATTGTCAGTGCCAGCACAGAGCGACACTAGAGACCACAAGGCAGAGAGAGAAATGCTGAGACAGCCTAATTGAGCATACAGCTTAGCCTAAACTACTTGCACGTTTTGTTTTGTTCTTTTAATTCTTAAAAAAGAATTAGAAAAGAATGGCAAATTTCACCAGAAGTGAAACAAAACCACAGGAGTCTTTGTGGATTGAGCGTGCTTAAGAACTAGTGAGAATAAATGTTTTCCCGTTTTCACTCTGTTTTCTGTACCTTAGGATCAAGCCATGTAGGACATTTGCTGACACTCCCAAGTTTTCTTATTTGGACTCTGCTATTTTAGAGAACTTGTTTTGCAGAACTCTGCATCCTAGGGAAGGAAATTAAGGTCAGAGATGAGAAAAACCCACCTAAGGGCCTGAAATACTTCTAGTTTCTCAAAGACCACCCTGTGTGGGAATGGTAGATTTAAAAATGGGTGGAACCTCTAAGCCTCGAGTTGTATCAAGTTATTAATGAAAAAAGTCTGAGATCTTTGTGTGGACAAAGATATTTGGGTGGCACTTTCTCACTCTTTCTTCAGAAGAGTCACTGTGGCCTCACAAACTGAAAACTAGCCGTGCTTTTTCTCTGGCTTTAAAAATAACTATGTATCTTGAAAAGCTGCCTCAGCAGTAGTGAAGGAGTGGAAAAAAAAGTGGATTATATCCCCATGGTTTCATACAGTGCAGCTGTGCTAACAGAGTGCACTGAGGTTGAGACCCAAGGAAAGGCATGAAATAGTCTATGAAATGATGAGTTGAATCTAACAGTAAAGCTTCACGCAATGGAGAGACCTCTTGTCCAGGTAACTTATTGCAGATGGAAGGGTTTTGTCTATTTATTTTTTTAGGGGGAAAAAATCCAGAGTATAAATAAATTCAAGCCTTTTGTATTAATAAAATTTTTACTGAAATCAATGGAAAAGTTGTCTTCTGATAGGAAGTCTACCTTACTTTGAATTCAAATCTTTAAATATTTTTGCAATATATTTAGATTAAATATCCATAGCCTGTGGGATTAAAAGTTTTTATTTTAATGCTGGTTGAATGTCTGTAGGATGATGATCAGATTCGAAAACACCCACGTCTCCAGATTTATAAAATCAGTTTAAAAAAAAAAATCCTTTTTTCAAAGAAGCAAGCATGCATCAACATACAGCCTTCAACAGTCCCTCCTAGGTCTTGGGGTAATTATTAGTAGTACAGCAATAATGGAACAAGTATCAACCAAATGTAATATGCAGTTGCCACAGTGGAGCTATTCCCCCTGCGTCAGCTCTGAAGTACAAGTGGTTAGTTTATAACCCTCTTTAGGTTACAACATTTTAACGTTTCTTCAGTGTTTATTCATTCTCTTCCCAAAGAACGTTCCGAAATACCGAGTTTACAACCTGTGGCTCATGTGATGGTAGTGGAAACAATTAAGCCAGTAGCTTTCAAAGCCACCACTGGGATTTTGATGCCCAAACTCATTAATTTTAAGAAGTGAGCTGCCAGTCGTCTTAAGTGGTTTCTAAAATCTCAACCCATAAAAACACCTCTCTACTGGTTCCAGTTTACTAGGAGCTCAGAGCAAGGTAAACACATGTAACAAAATAGTAGGTGTTAAAAGGTGGAAAGTATGTGTTCAGATGTCTCTAAGAGTATTCAAGGAACCAAATGGCGGTCCCAGCCTTGAGCTGGCAGATGTGGGCAGCCGCGTCTCGGGGAATTACTGTCTGGTCAGAACATGAGACACAGTTTCGGTGGCAAGAAGAAAGTCAATGGAAACAAAAATCTTGGCAACAGCTCAGTTCCAGCTGTGATGATCACATTGTTTGTCTACTTTGGGCTCTCATGTCTGCTCCATGCTCTTGCCTTCTTAACATGTTTCTGCCCACCACAGCCTCGTGGCCAGGGTAGTGCTCTTCTCCCCAGTGTGCAGGTGAACATCTGGGTTGCAGGAAGACCTAGATGAATTCACAACACGCAGTGAAGAGCAGAGGTATCCAGAGCAGTACCGGAACAAGCTGCCTTTGAGGAGTACCAACCAGCTTGTATTCCCATTGCTTTGGCATTAAGTGCAGCAGAAAATGAGGCTGGGGCTCTCTTGCCACCCACTACTGCCTGCTGCCATTGCAGAGACCCACATGGTGTTTGTAGATGCTTGGTCCAGGTCCTTCCTACCTGCCTAACCCATCCTATCCAAGTTCACACTGTGTTATCTTCCAAGCTGCTAAGTGGCTGCATTTGCATGTTGATATTTCACTGATCCACCATCATGGTTAGATAAAAATTAAGAACTGTCTGCTGTGGCCTGAGGGACCCACCCAATGCAAACCTATGACAGCCTTTCCTTTTACTTGAGTCTGGAGGTGGCTTTGCTTCAGCCATGAGCCTATGTCACAGCCTAAGAATTCTTGAAGCCTTTGGACAGCACCAAGATCTCTCAAAGAAAGTTGCTGCACTGATGAAAATTCATCCTCAACATGAATCACGGAAGTCTTAATGGAAAAAAAAACCAAAACAGAACCAGCAGATCTCTCTGTGATGTAAAACAGAGCATGGAGTATGAATGAGTTTGAAGGACTCACTGAGAGTCTGAATGCTTGAAAAAAGCGGAAAAATATGGGATTTTCTTGTTTCTTTTATTAATGAAAGCAACCTTGGCGAATTTTAGAATTGGTTTAAACAAGTATCTTTCTTTTCTGTATCTGTCAAGATCTCTGAAGAACTTCATTAACGTTGGCTATGAGTGACTATAGTTTTTGCCAATGAGTCTCACAGTAGCAATGATTAATTATCAGTAGCTATTGGAAGGACCTTTGGGTGAAACATGATGCAGTGGAAATAGAGATGACCATCTTGGCTGCTATTGTAATAGACTTCAAAAAAATCAAAAAGAAAAGAAGCTTCCATTAGTAGTAGTTGTGACTTTTTTGGAAGAGAACAAAATGTTCCATAAATGAAACATGTGGTTTCACTTGCAGCACATTTTGTACATTGTCACCAATGAAGTTTAGGATTTTTTATTACTTTTTCATTAAAATGTCTTACTGGTTTCACTCAGGAGGCAAAACTTTTCACGTGGCTTTAATTGTTTCTGTCATAAAAGTCATAGCATCCATGTAATAGAAATAGTTTTGCAGACCACAGCTTCATATTGCCTATTAATTCTCTTCCATTTTCTGTACCTACAACTCAGTGGGCCATCCCAGAGACAGAAAAAGTTCCTCTCTTGCAATTAAGACCAAACAGGAACTTCTACTGAAGTTAGGGAAAAAAAATCACTCTATGTCAGTACTGGCTTATTAGATTTTTGTTTCAGATCTCTTAGCTCACAAATGTAAGTTCACATGGCCGCATATCAAAGGCGAGAGTGTGTATTGACTTTTTAAGATTAGTGAAACTCTAGAAGATGAAAACAATAAAAGGCCTTTTTCTGCATAGCTCCAGTCAGATGCAGGAGGTGGTAGTATTTCAAACAGGAGTGAAGAGCTCTGGCAGTATTGTTTCAAGGTGGCTTTGGACAGGTCATTTACCCCCTTTTTTGCTTCATTTCTCCATCCTACAAAAACTGCTGGAGCTCAGGTCTCGTGTATCCCATCCCAGCAGCCTAGCTGTTAGACCGTGCTTCTGTCATCGGCCTGGGTTTCCCTGTCACTATTCGTAACTCGGATGAAGAAGCATAATTATTGTTGCAGTCAAAACAATGATTTGTTTCCCGCAGATGACATCCAAAGTTGAAAAGAAAAGAAGGGAACTAGTGTTGTGTCATTAATTTAAGATCTGCTGCTGTTAAGGTATCTATTTTCCTCAGAGAGTCACAGTTTTGCTATTTAACCTTCAGCCCAGCGGGGGAGGTGACATTGACCCCCACCGCAGGCTCTAGAGCCTGTAAGAAATAATTAAAATGCCAGAAAACAGCAATAGCGTATCAACTGCATTTTTCCACTTTTTCAGGCTAGCGTTTATTTGAAAGCTTGCTAGGAAATGCCACTGCTGTCTTTAGTTGCTGCCCCAGAGCAAAAGCCCTGTACATCTTTGTAGCAGTTAGGAGCACCCACCACATAGCGTAGTCCTCTGCGTTCACTTTTTCTTAGCTCAATCCCTGGCTTATTCATCAAATGTTTCAATGTTGTGTTTTGCAGTTCAAGGACAATAAAGACAAGCCCAGCCATGGAAGGGACCTCAGCAACAGCCCTGCCCGCTGTCCAGCTTTCTGAGCAGGTCCCACTGACGTCTCCTTCCCTGAAGCCCCTGCAAACAGACGAAGAAGACAGCCTGTCTCCTCACCTCCTGTTGCCAGATAGCATCAGCCAGCTGGAAGAGTTTGGCAGGCAGAAGAAATGGCACAAGAAACAGCACAAACACCATCGCCAGAGGCAGTTCAATGACCTCTGGGTTCGGATAGAAGACAGGTGAGTCATAACTTCCATGGTCCCTGTCCTCTTCATGCTGTCCCCTAACTACAGAGTCTGCTCTTTACAGATCCCAGCTCTTGTTGATTAGACCATGAGGAGGGTTGGAGAAGGGCTAAATGGGACAGGCAGGGAGTGAGGTGATGGTTTTGAACCCTAATGAAGAACAAGGAGGAAGGTTCATAGGCATGTTTGATCTAAAAGTAAAAAGAAGGTAAACCAAAGTACTTAACTAAGGCCTCTGCATGAAGGGAATGGAGGTAGGCACATTTCCGTGGCCATTCCAATCTAGGTCCGAGCTTAAAAACTTCCATTCACTGTTTGAATAAGCTTTCACATTTGACCAGGACTTCTCGATGTATGCTTTTAGGGCTCCTGGGCAATCTATTCTCCCACGTCTAAAATTGGGAAAGCTCTTGGTGCCTTTACCCAGGCCAAGTCATGGGCAGATAAACAGCCACAATGTTTATAGATCTCCTAACAAGTAACAGGAATGAAATAATCTGTTGGGAACTGGCTGCTCGCCTATACATGTGATGATTCTCTTTGAGCATTACACTTAATCCCATTTTCATAGCACCTAAATTCCCTGCAAGTAAAAGGAGCCAGGGTCTCTCAGAGGCTTCCCCCTTTGCTAAGGAAAAAACCCTCCACATATTTGTGTTACGGGATTTTTTTTTTTATTTTTATTCACTCTTTTTAATGGAGCGGTTGCCTCATTTTTTTGTCGTTTACTGTAGTCTCAGGGTGAGTGATGTAAGGGTTGTTGTTAAGGTGGTGCATATTAATCTTAACATAGTGAGGCTACTTCTGAGGTTAATGCCAGCCTCGATAAGAAGGGTTTGTGCGTTCTGTTCTCAGAGTGTGTTCAGTGCTTGGATCCTCTCCACAGAGGACGTTTAAGCATGAACTGAGAGGTATTTGGTTCATCATAGTTGATTGCCTCGAAGACAAGGGACTTTTCTATCTTTTTCTGCCTGGGGCCTCTGAGTCATGGTGTCCCATGATGTCCCAGCATTTCACAAGGGTACCTGGTCCAGCTCACCGTTATGTGCCATACAAGTGAGGTGCTTAAATAGATCTGGTGGGAGCCTGGCAGTTAGGTACAATCCTCCTGCCCTCGTCCTATCTATCCAGAAAGGATATTGGATATTGGGCCTGATATGGCTGTGGAAATGTGCAGCTGGGGGCTTAAAGCAGTGTCGCTTGCATAGCTTTGGCAGGCTTTTGTGCCTTTTGCTGGTTTTATTTCAGTAAGAAATGTTCCTAGGAAAAGTATTTAAAAGGGAAGTTCCCCAGGTTAGAGTTAAATTATTCACTCTCTGCTCCTGTGAGATTTCGTCTGAATCAGAACCTTTTATCCCTCTACTTCCATTTCATAAGGGTGGAGACTGGGATAAGGAAACATAAGTTTCCGCTCCCACCATGCTGGTGGTGAACCAGACGCTGTGTGTCGCCTGCCTTGCTGAAAGATCCCAGGGAGATATTAGTGGGGGATCACAGCCCTAGAAATGAGGAAAGGCTGGAAGAAGGGAAGTCTGCCTTAGTGCTTTCAGATGGTTTGAGTGCTTCTACAGTTCTGGAGTAACTTCTGGTGTTTTCCTGGAAACAAAACAAAACAAAAAATACAAACTGTTCAGCTAAGTCACAGAGACTTTCTGTGATTCAGAGACTCACAACCAGCTCTGGTTTCCCCATAAATTGGATGGGGTCTCAACTTTCATAAACCAGCTGCTGCATATTGTGCTTTTGGCAGTTGGGTTTCATCAGCATTAATTGCAAGCTGGACCTTGCACAAGGCAATAAACAGCAAGTTCTCTCTAACTGGTTCCTTTCTGATTGGCAAGAAAAGAGCAGAAATGTGTGCCTGTCGCCAGACTTTGTAGCGTGATCATTCTTGGGAGGAAACAGCTAGGATGGCTAATAACGTGGGCAATGGAGTGTTACCTGTGCAGGAGAGAAGCATGTGAACTCATACCATGTTGCCTCATGAATGTTCACCAGCACTCAACAGTGAGACTGTTAGCACTCATTTCTGGAGGATAATCAGTGTACTGGACGTTCACACTCCGGCCTGTCCCATAGATCTATCGTGCATTTGCATATATTTAAATTGGAGCCCCCTCCATATGGACTGAGGTCTCTGCATATAGTATTACCTTGAGCTATGGCCCCGTATTTCCAAATGGTTCTTTTTCCAGTTTGAGTTTCCTAACTCACCTGTTGTCACCTGAAACTCAACTTGTTCACCTTCAAGACAAAGTAGAGGGATTTAGGTCATTGTTAGGGCTTTTGGGTGAAAGCTGTGTTGTTTCCCTGCGAGGTTGCCAGAATTCAGCTGTTTGAGCTGCCTTTCAACCTGAAAAGCCAAAGAGAAATATACAGGTGGAGGACAAATCCAGGTGAATTTAAACCAGATTATTGATTCGTGTATGAACCTCATTGAACTGTGAAATGATGGTGGTTCATACAGCTCTTTTCCAAAGCTTTATTGACCGTGGATTAGAGGACTTTATGAGCCATGAATTGCAGGGCTTTTATGGACTACACATTTCTAGGCTATCTCATACACTTCCATGGAAATATTTGGGTGTTTTTTTAAGCTACCAACAAAGAAACAAAGGAAATGAACACAAGAGAACAGTCTTAAAGGCACATCAAAGGTCTGACTCCAACCTATAAAAGCCAGAAAATCTGTAATTAATGGTTCCACTAAGACTTCAGCTCACGCAGTCATTTGGGTCTGATCTGAGGTTATAGCTACAATCTGAAATGGCCTCGTGAAAAATGAGTCATCATTTAATGTCACACATCATTATTACTATTTACTTTCAGTTATACCTTGGAGACTGTCCGTTCCTTTTTGTTCTGTCCTAGCAGCTGAGGCATTTGAGCTGGCACCCCTGCGAGGACGGTGTTTAGATTTGTGTATTGGAGGGTTAGTACCGCTGTGCAGGATGAGAAAGCTTCTGCTCTGTCTTCTCCCTGTCTTTGACAGAGCTAAGATTTGCTGATCTCCTGGGTAATCGGCTACACTGAAGGCTATTAAAAAATAAAAAATGCTGATGAAATGTGTGGTTTCCTCTCCCTTTTGCCTCCTTCCCCCCAAATCTAAACAAAACGAAAAAGTCCTGCCTGGCTACAGTTTGTGTTTGAAATTGTTTGTCAAGAATTAAAATTAAATGGAGATTTCAAGTAGCGGAATTTTTTCTTTAACTACTTGATTCTGCAGAAATGTGCAGATCTGAAGTCTGTCTTTGGGAGGAATTTGAACTTAAACAAAACTAAAACTCTAGCTAGCTGCTGTAGCCAAAAGCCAGCAGGGGCAGCAGGGAGGGGAGGCAAAACCCTTGGGCTGGATGGCTGCAGTCTGGCGTACAGAGCGTGTTATTGTTCCTGTCGGTGCTGTGTTAGCTAAGCTTCCCCTTGGAAGATAAATAATTAATTACAGATCGTTCACTGGCTTTGCGTGATGGGCTGCTCCGTTCATTGAAAGAGTCGAGAAATGTCTGTGATGTTTCAGAGTAGTCAGTGAAGGCCAGGGCAGGATCACACCTTTGTTCTAGCGGGCAAATGGTGTAAGGCTGCAAAAAAACCCAGCCCAAGAGAACAGAGAACCTCTCCCAGCTTGGGCTGGGGGGGAGCATTACAGCTCCTGGGGCCCTAAGGCAGGGTGGGAGGAAAGCTCCTGGGAAAAGGGAGGGAGGGGAGTTAGTAACCGGGAGGGTGTTTCAGGAGGTGTGAGGTCTGGAAGGAGCGATGGCAGCTGGGGGATGTGAAGGAGAGAAATGCAGTGGTGGGAAGAAAGAATTAGAGAGGATGTAATGGGCAAATTCAGAGGCTCATTCCCACTTCCGAGGAATAGATCTGTGTGAAGATGGTGTTTGGAAAGACACTGAGGACACACAGATGCTTTGCTTGCACAGGAAAGAAATTAAAGGAAAAGAATTGTTATCAGAAGAGAAGAAAAAGAAATTCTTGTCCCAGATGTAGTCTCAGCCCTGCAAAACCTGCCATTAGTGGGAAATTAAATTAATTCCCCGTGTAATTGGAAATGGCATTCCTCTGATAGCCCAGTGCTGACTGTTCAACCCCAGATGAATGCAATAACATCACAAATATCAATTTATTTTGGAAGCAACAGTTATTTTAGGGGAAAAAAAAGAAAAAGTTATACCAGTGATGGATGAAGGGAGACAATGTGTAATAAACTGCACTAAGTGTGCCTGTATAGAGTGAACCTTATCAGTTTGGATGGAATTTAAGCACTTAGCCTGTTATCCTTTCTTTCAAGACAATGCAGTGATGGAAAACAGAACTCTGTCAACTCAGACAAACTTTTAATTTCACTTAACTGCATCTGAAAGGTAAATTTCAGTAAATGAATCCAAATTGCTTCCTTTTCACAACACACGGTGCTGAAATACAGTACTTAACTTCATTAAAGAAAAGACTGCTTTTCTTTAGAGGAGACCTAGACACTTTTGAAGTCTAACAGGTAAATTGTGGTCAGATATTTCCCTCCATATGGTAGCTTTGAGCTTGAAATTTCCATCACTGGGGCCTTGTTTGTTTAAATTACTCTATCCACCTCCCTGGTAAGAATAGTGCTCGGAGGGTGCATGCCTACCAATGCTCATGGGGAGGGGGGATCACTCCCTCCTCCAGCCCATCCCCGTGCAGACAAGTAAACTGTTGCCACCGTTGCATTTATTTGCCCTGCGTTCAACCAAGGATGGGGATGCAGCTTCAGGACCTTTCTAACTTGCTGTGGTGAACCTGTCTCCCAACGGGACTGCTCCAGCAGCTAGGAACAGCAGGAGCGTAGACGTATTGGAGTCCCACCTTCCCTCCCTTGTCGCACATTGTTGTTCTTTGGGGCTTAACTGTGCTGTATGGCCCCTTGGCTTTCCTCCAGCACTTCTGCCCACCATTTCCTTCGCTGTTCTCCTGGCAGGATTTCCTTCTTGGGGAAACTTTCATGATCACAGTCCCTATCA